GGACATAAATAAAGTACTACTACTAGTAGTAGTTACGAGATTAGCATCATTAACAAGGAAATTCTTTAAATTGAAATATGAAGTTTAACGTCTAGCAGATGAACTATGGAAGAAAAGAAGGAACGAAACAACTTTTTTCAATCGTTCGTTGAACGCTGTCATTATGCTTGATGTTATGGTTATCGGAGGCTAACGATTTGTTTCCTTGATGAATTTAATTTATAATAATTAAATTTTGCTTAACCAAACTATGTCTTCATTTAAATCTGCACTAATAGAAACCACGAAATTCTTCAGCAGTTAGTTCAACTGTAATTCGCGCTTTTAATGAACAATTAGATATATTAGGAAAATAAATTTTAAATAAAAATGAAAAAGAATGATATTTTGTTATTTTAAGAGATTGTGAATATTCACTGATTTATCTGTTATTATTTTTTTCATTATCAGTTGCTATCGTATAAAGATGTGTAAAACATCCTAATATGTTTTTGAGAAAATTATATTTGTCACCGTCAATATCGAATTCATACATGTACAGTGAAACCGCCAGGAAAGACCACCTCTTTGTAGAGACCGCTTCTATTTACGACCTCTTTTGGTCGTAATCAATTTTGGATTGGATCACATTTGGTTGAAATTAATTTTTTCCATTGACTTGTGTTGAGAAAAATCTTTGGGATAGACCATTAAAGCTCCTCCCAATGACCGGGAACACCTAGGCACCAAATGCGGAAAAGGTCAAAGAAGGAACACGAAAAAATATCAAAAATATATCTATACTAGTGGGCTGCGTCCCTTGCTCGCTAACGCTTGCCAACCCCCGAAAATTGCTACGCAATCTCATATGGTTTGCTTCGCAAACCAAGCTCGGTTTGCTCACTACTAACTTAGGTACATTGCAAATGCACAAAATTCTAAGAATTCAAAACAATCATTCAAATCCATATAAAACCTTTTTTTTTTTTAAATTACATCTTTTCAGCAAATACTAAGTCATTAAAATAAATTTGAATTCAAATAAATGACATGTAATTCGTTAAACCTATTGGAAATGAGCTATAGTATAATTCATGATAAAAATCAAAAATCGTCAAATAAATTCGTAATATATAAATTCGTGAAAAAAAGCGCTTTCGACAAAATACTCAAATAGAGATCTATCGAGAAAGACTACTCACTTCTGCCTAGCTTAATAGTATGAGATTGCCGCAGCTGATGCTCTCTGATCATTTCAGTTTCCGTTTTTAAAAGCGCTATATGTCGAGCCACCTCAGCTAGATGTGGCATGTGACATTTTTAGCGGCAATCATTGGTCGATTTTCTAGCGTTGCCATTCGGGGAGTGTAATTAGGCTTTTTTTGTCGCCGTGTAACATAAATAATAAAGTAAACAAAACAAAGCAAACGTTGCCACCGGCGGAAAAGAAATACATTCAAAATTTGGGAGCCACGTAGGAGAATTATATATATTAGATTAACAAAATAAATAGAGAGATTCAAATGTATTGAAAATGTTTGTAAGTGACTCTTATTTATAGAGCTTTCTGATGATCTCTGAAAAAGATTAACAACCTCATGTTATAGTCAGAGAGCACTAAAGACGATGTTATCAATGATTTACTTTTAGAGTTGAAAGTTAAATTAGAAAAAAAATAGTTATTTTTTAAAAAAAATAAGCATCATAAATAAACAAACCTCTTCTCCCCTTTTAGAGCTAATTAATTTTTATGATATAATATTAAATGCAAACTTAAACAAAAAACGTAATTGCTTATTTATTTAAGATAGCTTTATCATTCATAATTGGTAAATTTGTTTGTACACATATTTATATCAGTTGAGATCGTTTTTAAAAACTCTAAATTTTATTCATCCATCCATCTTTTCATGAATCCAACAAAAGTGGCCTTTCCGCAACAAGAAAATGAACACTCACTAAAATTAAAATCATTTGCGAAAAATCATGTATCTTCGATGACAATTTTAAAGTCAGTGGAGGTAACCCCTAAGACGGATGGGCAAACTTTTTTGGTCGAGGGCAAAAAATCAAGAGAAAAAAGTTTGGTAGGCCGAGTAAAAACTTCTAAACTAAAAAAAAAAAAATGTTTTTACAAGTTTTAATTGAAATATTTAATGAGATGAATGAAATTGCGATTTCATTTTTAAAAGTTCCTTATATTGAGGTTCGAAGTGAGATGTGCTTATTTTAAGGAACGAGGCTAAATGCTTGTCTGTTAGTCTCGTTCTGAAATGAATTTTTCAAAGGTTCATAGTAGAAAAAAAAAACTTATTCACATATTTAAAATGAAGCAAGCATAGCACTGATTTTATGGGCATGAGATATTAAATTTTGGTAATGATTTGCAAAACTCATGCTTTGGCATGTTTAGAAACAACAATAGTGTGTAATCGTTCCGTACTCAATAAATAATGTTAGAATTCGCATCGGCAGAAAAATGCGCTGTCTGCCACATGTTAAGCACAATTCACCGATTCCATATGTCTGATCTTCGAGGCTTGTTGGAGCTAATCTGCGGCTTTTCTATAAAGAACTTCTGCTTTCAACATTTTACCAATTGAAGCTGTCTGTGCTAACTATTTTCATCAATTCCACCCATAAAGTTAAAACGTCATCTTGTTAAAAAGAGAAAGAACAAAAATAGCTTTAAACAAAGAAGACAAAATAATGGATGCATCTTGTTTAGATTCACCACAGATCGGCAAGTTAAAATTCTATATGTGGGTCGGATGAAACCTTCCGACGGGCCACAGTTGGCCCGCGGGCCGTAGTTTGCCCATCCCTGCTCTAAGAAGTAAAACGATCAACCTCCATCAACGACCACTGTTTACTGTGACACGGAGAGTGGTTTCACTGTATTTTCTTGATTGTTATCAGATAATATTTGGTTTCTCCAAAATATTCTCATAATAAAGAATTACAATCAATTGAAGGAAATCTAGATTTCATTCGATATATAAAATGTTTGGAATTTTTGCTTGTTGATTATAATCAAGTTGTTGTTATAGATTGCTATTAAATACTTTCGTAACTATACCCATACATTATAACTTTATTAACTCGGCTTAATATATTTTAATTAATTTTGTACGAGTTATAGAAAATTTGCTAAATATCTCATAGTGGTATTTATTTTTTTTATTTTTTTTTTTATTTGTCGTGTTAAATATTTTGCTTGGGATTTCATAATTAACTAATGCTTCTTAATTTTATGTAACTAAGTCTGGGAACATGTGATAAAACTTAAAATTATGTTAAAAACTGGTACATAAAATTTCCCCTTAGAACACTAACTATCACAAAATAACATTCGAATCATTAAATAATGCAATATTTTGGTCAAAAAAATCTGCAAAAGGAAACAGCTTTATTAAATCCATATAAAACGTAGTAGTGTCTGATTTTCTGAAATTATTATTGAAATATGCAGAAAACATTCACGTTGAATTAAAAAATACTTCTTTAATATTCCTTAAAATATTCTAAAAAATTAGGGGCTTTACCCCGTCATGCAAATCCTCAAGATTGCTTAGGCGCTTGACTTAAAATCATTTTACTTGCTTATTTCCTCTCATTTCAATTTGGATAAATATCCGAAAAAATTTAAGTAAAAAAAAGGAAACAAAAGAAAATATTAGTAAATTAAAATTTATTTAGCTTTTGGCACTAACGATTAAAAAAAATCCGTTATCGTTAATTTTATAATAATTTTTTATTTTGTAAAATTTAATTTCTTTTGCATGACGTTTAATAAAGAAATTTTTAAATTTTTTTCGAATTAAAATGTTTTATCGTCTTTTGCATGACGTTTTATTAAGAAATTTTTAAATTTTTTTTTGAATTCAAAAGAAAAAAAAATGGTTAAAACCTTATTTATATGCTATGAATTTTTTAATTAAAGAAGTAATAATGAATAATTATGTTGATCATTAAGTTTATCGTTAGCATCATTATGCCAATCATTTAGAAATATGAACACGTGAGCTAACTAAATTATATAAAATTCATATTTTTAAATATTGGAAGGGCATGCCACTATAGTAAGTCATAAACAAAAAATAAATAATTGATTGCGATATAAACGACACATTTTAATTCGACGCAATTCTGAATTTATTGCTTGAAATATCACGAAATTTAATTGTAGAATGTATAATAATAATGTAATGTTGGACAATATATAATTACTTTTGTTTCAAAAAACTTAACACTTATGAACAAATTTCTTACACTTAAAAACGATTGTTTTATTGCAAAAACAATTTAAAAATCTATTTTCTGCAAATAAAAAGAAAATTGTTTCATAAACGATTCTAATTTAATTTCTACAATAAGAACGCGTGCATTAATTACCATTTCATTTAATTTCCCTTTGCATGACTATCGACTATTACATTTTTAAAGATATAATTATTCATATCATTGCAAAACAAATGAATATAAATTATTTAGAACCATGCAATTCGTTCTGTTTTAAAAATAATTGTTCTTTTTAATAATGAGTTTAAAAACGTTATGAGATTTAATCACATAATTATTTATATCATTGTAAAACAAATAAATATAAACTATTTAGAAACATGCAATTCGCTCTATTTTGAAAAAAAAAATTTCATCATTATTATGAGCTAAAAAACGTTATGAGACTCGTGCAATTTTCGAAATGTATATCAAATTCACACAGTCTTTTTTTTATTATAAACATTTGTATGAGAATTGAATTTTTATTTTTCATTTAACATAACATAGAATCGAATTTTTTATTTAACATTTAGCATATGTTTATTGATATAATTATTTTTATAATTGCAATAAAAGTCTTCGAAACTTACATTTAGTTTTGTTAAAAAAATTCATTTTAAAATTTAAAAAGAAATGTTTATAAGATTTTTAAATACCTTTGAAACATTTCAAATAAACATTGCCAACACTATGTAATACCGTATGTTTGTAAAGGTATTTTCAATTAAAACACTTACCTATATTCGAGTATATTATCTACATCCCCTGAGAAAGTTTATTGATAATGAACCCTTCAATTGTCTAATCCAGATTTCAAACAAATCCAAAATTTATGATCCAAACCACGAACTACGCACAATACGAAAAATTGAATAAATAAATAATCTATACAACTATCGAGTAAATATCGAATGCTCGGCGAGAGTTCGCTCCTAAGTTTCAAAATGCAACTGACAAAAGTTGCGTGGAATATTGCTGAAAGCGCTGTTTGCGAAAGACTCTTCCGGATTGAACTGAAGTGCTGGAGGAGTTTGATCATGCTTAGATGTGATTTCATCGATTGGGACGACGTCGCTTGAGTAGTCTTTCGTGCTAGCGCCACTCACTACCTTTTTGAAATTAAGTTAAAAGGAACTCTTTTTTTGAAAAAAAAATCTAATTTGGCGACATTCCCAACAATGTATCATTGGAAATATTAGGTGCTTTTACAGTAAAAACATGACAGTGCTGTGGAAAATAGAAAAAAAAAATAGTGCACCAAGAAATAGTTCTTAATTAACTATCAATAAACATATTTTATTTACTCCACATGTTTTAATGTATGGAAGGTGATATTATCATAATATTATATATATATATATATATATATACTTTTCTTTAATTTAAACTTT